TGCAGTCTTCCCTAGTTTTTCCTGTTTTACCATTTCGTACTGTTTGGAAAAACTGAAGAAAGTGGTTAGTCGAAAACTTTTTTCAAGGCAAGTGCGAACTCCCCTCCCTTCAGTGACCATATACGACCTCCCCCACTCCAGGCGACGGCAACGTACGACCTGTCCTAATTGTAGCCGAGTAGTGCAAGGAATTCCGTTCCCCAGCAACTCGAGACAAGGCTACGCAAATTATGGTCGTCTGTACTCTTCTAAGCCTGTCTGGTGGAGCGAAAGCTTCCTGTCTCGATGAGGGGATACAGAGGAGCGAAAGTAGACACCGCAACCTTCCTCCACCCTTTTCTTCAACTACAGTAGCGCCCGGATACTTCAAGCAGTTGAACTCTTGTTGTGTCTGTTTTGGGTTCTGTTGTGAAGTGAGCTGCACCCAGAAGTAGCTTGCGAAGAAGTTCATAGTTGCTCCGTCTTGCTTACCCTCACCACTTATTGTAAGCACCAGTCTTTTTTCTTCCGAAGCATTTGGAATGTAGACTTTTTTTCTTCAGAATTGGAGGTGCGCTTGTGCGTTAATGCAGTGTTTCTGCGAAGCAGACCGTGCTTTCCTGTCCCATCTAGCACAGCCAGAGATGCTTCAGCTACCAGTTCATGAGTTTGCATGACGAGAAACTGGAGATGCAAGAGGTACATTGCTTTAAGATTCCCCGAGAATGACTGAATTCTCTCGCAACTCTCGGGGATACTTGTCTGGGACATTTTTCACTTTTCACCTTTAGATAGTTTCTAAAGATGCAAGAAGGTCCCATTTTTACAGGCTGCTGTTTGCCTTCTTGGTCGTTTATCTGAGCTCAATCCAGCTTTGGTATTGCCCAGAATGAGACGAGTATTGCTTGAGACGTTGAGTCAGCTGACGAATAGCGGTCAAGCGAAGTGGGTTATTCCAGGAGCCATTTTTCTCACAGTTCCTGCCTTCTAACAGATACTTATTCATCACTCATGTCTTCAGGCTTGAACAGCATAGTGCCCGTCTTCTTACTCAACTCACTCGTCAAAGCCCGAAATTTATGAGACCTTACCTAGGTCCTCTTCTTCCAGGCTTTACTCCCGAAGCTACGAAACGAAATGAAGGCAAGCGCTTGTTGAGGTTTCAAAGCTGTTTCTCCTTGAGGAATTCTGAATTCAGCACGTGGATGTCACGGTTCATGTGCTTCATGCCATTTCCGAGCTGTGTGTAGTTGGTGGAGCCGAGATTGTACGAAACATTGATCCTAATGTTCCAAAA